ATGAGTGACCTCAACTCGATATCAGTCCTAGAGGTAATTGCGAGACGCCTACCTACTCGGCTGCAAAGGAAGTGGGTGAAGATAAGCTCTCGTATAGAAGAGGAGGGTATCGAGCCAAAATTTGATGATATCCTGTAACTAGTAAAAGACAGTGTCAATCAATCGATGAGCAAGTTTGCCAGTATATTGAATCTCACCCCTAGAATAGAGCAGTCTGAGAGCAAAATGCAATCATTGATGACGAAAGGGCCTCAGAGAGATGGATATCGAGAAGGCTCTATGATGTCCAGTGATGCATATAGACCTAGTGAGTGTAAGAGGTTTCGTAGTACATCCTCAACAGATGAGTTACAAGATGCAAGACAAACACGGTTGTGTTTTACACGTTTGCAAGAGGTGCATACAGAAGTGAACTGTGAACCAGTGAGCGAGTTTAGTGATAAGCTCAATGTAAACTCCAGGCCTGACTCCGAATTGTGTGACGATAACGGTGCGGTGAAGAAGTCTGTAGTTGCAACTGGTAAGCCGTTGTTGAATAGAGTGTCACAGAATAGAGTTACTGCTTCAGAGTGCAGTTCTGACTCCAAATGTTTACAAAGTATAAATAGTCAGAGTGAAGATATAAAACCTTAAATGATTTGTGAGGAGGAACCAAAATTGTCTACTTCTGTTATTAAAGAGTTTGAAAATGATGAAGTTGACGGTAAAGTGAATATTCGTGATAATGATCATGATACTTCACAGTTGTCTTTGGTTGATCATGATGAAATGGAGGGAATGCCTACTACCGCTAAGTTAAATAAAGGTTCTGTACAACTTGAACGTGAAGTAGAATTAAATGCAGATGCAGTTGCAGAAGGCATGCATACTTGTGAGACCGTCAGTGTGAGTGATCAGCATGTAGCCCACCTATCATCAGATAATAGTGCTAAACCCGAACTAGTAGTGAAAGACAGCAGTGGTGGTAATCTTTCAGTTAAGCAACTATCTGAAATCCAAAAAAGAACAGCTTCTGATCCACTGCTAAGTTCATCAACTGGTATCAATCAGTCGTCGTTGGTGTTGTCATCCAGAATAAAAGCAGACGCCCATCAACTCACGTGCCTTATGCAATAACTATGATAGTATTGGTGCGTTTGAAAAGACGAAAGATATTGCTCACTTTAGTGAGGACAAGCCAGGTGTAAACCAGAGAGTAATTGTTAAATTGACTTGCATGAACCAAGGCATTTCTAGTTTCAAGTTACTATTTGAATATTATTATCTTTGGTGTAAATTACTCTGTTTCTACACTTGGTTGATGAGATATGTCGTGTGTTTGTTGGTCATCTATATTCTACGATACAATGACATGGGCGTGTTGCCGTTCAGATTTGAGGATATAGCTGATAGAAGGAAATCAGCAAATGAACTCTGCGACGATTTTCCAACCTAGAGCGTCAACCTGAGAAGGGTTGTAGGCGTACTTCTGTAAGTCCTACAATTCTTCAAAGGGTAGCGCATCAGTGAGCAGTCCAATGTGTTTGGTGTGTGATTTTGTACATATGTTCATATTGTATATACTGAATTGGTATAATTTATCATCTAGCTGTTGGTAATTCTGTTTGTGTCCGGACGACTTCCACTTGGATCATCAACCTGAGAAGGAATGTAGGCGTACTTCTGTTAGTCCTACAGTTCTTCAAGGGTAGCTTTTCATGCCGGAATCCACAACATTTAATGTAGTGATTGTACATATGTTTGTGTTAAATAATTGTGTGAGTTCCAATTATCGTAATTGTTGGTTAATCTTGTTTGTGTCCGGACATTCTTCAATCTGCAATCGTCAGCGTGAGAAGGGTTGCAAGCGTACTGGTGTAAGTCCTGCAATTCTTCAAAGGAATTCCATCAAGACATGAACTTCGAGGTTGTGTGCACTGTGTGTATATATGTGGTGTGTCATATCAATTAGTATTTAGGGATTCATTATGTCTACTTTTTTCGTATCTTGTTGTTATTGCGTAATTTTGATAAATTTTTCGTCGTGATTACTTCTGAAGTTGTTTCGAGTCTTCTACATCCATGAATGAATTGATTGATGTTAAGGAGAGCAGATGGGGCGTATACGCCGGGGAGGCTAGGCTATTGCTGAGAATGAAATGCACACGGAGATAATTGTTAGCTGCGGTCCGACACGCCGGGGAGAAAGAGTGTAAACGACTGAGGCTCGCATACATCACCGCTACTAGAACTGAGGCAGAATGAGTGACAAGGGATTTCAGTGGTAATTGGTAGTGAGTAGATAAGTGGATGTGCGTAGAGGATCATGAGTTGGTGCTATGGTCACGTTGCCTTCTGCAAGAGTCATTCTAGCAAGTGGCGATTGTGTTGCAAGAGGATGTGTCAAGAGGATGCCTTTAACTGGAATGCGCAGGTCGTCATCGATATGTGAGATTGTGCTGTGGGTATGCTTGTGGTGTGTTGGCTTTTCTGTTTGTTTTCCATTTCAGCTTTGTCCGTGTGACCCAGGTCCTCGCAATGTCATGCAAGTCAACGTGTATTGGTTGTGATGAAAAGAAGGGATGGATCCGTATTGTGCCGGGGAGTGTCAATGGAGTTGAAGATTGAACGATCAATTCAGGGTTGTTTGCCCAAAATCAACTTCCCCATAATTTTCGCGGAGGCATCAATCCACCAGTCATCGTCTCATCGGTCGCTGTTCAGAAAGAAGTCAGGACAAAACCGTCAGAAGTATTATTGTGATTTATTATTGTAATATTTGTTCACAGACCTTGGTAGAAATATTTTTTATATGTTGGTGTTACAATAAAGAATTCGCAAGCGGCCAATCGGTGTTTTGGTTTTTTCGTCCGTTATTAGTAAGCGTTTCTGAAAACTTCAAGGAACAGCGTGAGTCCCAGCGTAGCAAGAGCTGGGCATTAACGGTTTTCGAATCGTGACTGACAATGTATCTTGAAGATGGACGCATATTACCATGCATGTTAGACGGTCGCGTATACTAGGGATGACGAAGGGTGGTCATGGCAGCATAGGGCTAATTGGATCTCTGTTTCGCTCTTTGTCTTCAATTCGAAGACCTTTAGTTGAGAAATATTCGCCTTTTGTGACAACATGATGTCACACTGCTCACAAGAGACGTTTTGGGTCAATCCCTTCGCGTCTATTCAGGAGGTCTCTAGGACAAAAATGTCAAAACTAAATGTCCTGGCTAGTGCATATTCTACTGGGATAGTAGTTTCAGAATTTGTTTATGCCGGGACAGTTACATCTCTCGAAAGTCTCTGGACCCATCGACTTACACGCCACTGCAAATATTATGTTAGCGAATGTTATGCAGCCGCCTACTCTGGTAGACTTCAGATTTTGCCAAACGGCTAACTGCAAATAATGCCTAGTCCAGTTGTGTCCAGCGTGAACCAACTAACAGAGACAGAACATTATATGTATGCTTGTTATGGGATATATTTAGTTGAAAGCACAGTTAGAAACTGCAGGAATAAGAACCACAATACAATACATTTTCTCCATAAACGAATTTGATACAACACATCGATGAACTCTTACGGTTTAGATATATATATTTATGGCTGGAGATGATGATGTCTTGAGTCCACTTAGCCCCACGAACTTATTTAATAGCTTATACTGCTCCTTCACAAGAATTCACAAGAGCCGATACTTTTCAATGAGAGTAGCAGAACCCCACAGCAAAATATTATATATTATTGGCATGTTTCTCCCAATTAATGAGAACTGAACTTTTTGTTAGTTGATAAGTCGCAATGAAAACACAGTTTTGATCCAGTCTTAACCTTTTCACCGTGCACGCACAGGTGATAAAAAGCAGAGTAAGGAATGATACCTTGATGATGAGAGTGCGTCTTACAGAAGGAGAATGGTGGTGAAGGAGGGCAATAGTAGTAAGGTGAGTACTCTCCTGTGTTTTGTTCTTATTTTCACTATATGCATTCTGAGCCCAAAATTGGGCTTCATTCTTCATGTTTGGGCTTCTGGCTTGAAGACTAGATCCCCATTTATTCTGGTGTTTCTACTAGCTGGTAAACTTGATGATGTTTTGAAGTTCATCGTTGTGGTCCAGACCTCAAGTGTAGGTGGAGAAGACTAGACGATTGAACCACAGGTACACGAAAATCCGGTAACACCCGGTTTTTTTAGTGATTTTATTTCCTATCTCTGAAGACCCCTCGTGACTGTTTAACTATCTCGAAATAAAATAAATCCACACTTTACTCATTTTTCTCCCAAATAAATGAAATGGTCATTCTCAAAGGTGTAAACTAAGTACGCGTGATGTATTTTCGCCCAATGATTTGAAACTTTAGGAGGTGAAGAATGCTAATGACTACGGAAGATTAACTCTATACAAGCGCAATATCTTGTAGCTCCCAAAGTACTTTTTCTCCTGGGACTAAAGACACATCGAAACTACAATCTAATTGTCCGAAATAGAAAATATATTTCGTGATCAGAAACGTATGGCGACTATTTCTCAATTAGCTAAAGATTGTGAAAGAGCTTTCGAATAAAGCACAACAGAATGCTTAATAATGCTGGACCCTATATCTTCAGCCTAACAAGCCATCAGTGGTCGTGGCAAGTACGAATCTTTGAATGAAGAATGCTGTAAACTGATGCGTTTTTGGAAATTATTTATTGCTTCTAAAATATTCCAGGTGCTAGAATAAGTCAAGAACTATTCGATAAATCACCGTTATAGAAGAGGAAGCCAATAAGTTTCTATGGAATCCACAAAAATGTATTGAGCATTGAATGCAGTTGTAAAGTCAAACATCTCTTCATCAGATAGCTTTAGAAGTTAATAAATCATATTAAAGATAAGGATTTGGAAGTTTTATCCTCACATATGCATTGTTGAAGAAGAAAAACCTGTTATGAGAACTCACACCGGTAACCAATGCCTTGTTTAGAACGATGGTGATATAAACTTACTCTTTTGAAATGGGTTGAACCTGCTGATTATGACAGACCCAGATAACAGTCTGACGGCCATAGATTGGCTTCCCAATCTTAGCATAAGCATGTTGACGGCATCTATTGAAAGCGAATTTCCTTTCGAAATGGATTGTTGGGACTCTATGAGTGGAGATGATAATAAAACTGAGTCTGACTGCGGGTCTACGCCCTACCAACCAGATAGCAAACCGCCTTATAGCTACGCAAGCTTGATTACTTGTGCTATACAAAGTACATCGGAAAAGAAAATGACATTGAGTGAAATATATCAATGGATTTGTGATAACTTCCCTTATTATTGCGAAGCCGGGAGTGGTTGGAAGGTATGATTCCACTTCATAAGTATATTGTTTCTTTCAGAACTCGATTCGTCATAACTTGTCACTTAACAAGTCTTTCATGAAAATTCCCCGATCTCGAGATGAGCCAGGAAAAGGTTCTTACTGGTGTCTGTCTAATCAGTGCGATGATCCAGAATGCATGCCTTCAGCACCTAAAAGACAAGTATGTAGTTCAAGTTTTTTTTATCAGTTTTGATGATTTGGCCAAATAAAATCTCAGGTTTTGTTTTTCCTTCGTGATAATGCAGCAGTCACTAATAGATGAAGAATCAGAAGTACATAGTTCTATTTCTCACTCAGTGTGAAATATAGAAGTCCTATCGTAATTAAATTTAACATGCGAATGCCTTAATTTTCCCTAAGCCGTTAATTTTGGTATTTTCTTGAATGTCTGCAAATAACTATTTGGGCTTTAAATGGGGTCTGACATATGGTGGTATTAGTTATTTATATACATTCGGCCTATCTGTAACATACATAGCAGGAATTTATTTTGAAAAGAATAGTTCTTGGCTAGATTCTATCTAAAGACTCTAATTGAACTTCACACTGAAGATGCTGGAAAGTTTTCTTAAGATTCGAAGTTTATTATTATGATGTACTCAATTTACTTCTCGGAATTCTTATCCTGTAATTTTTTTTTGTAGTTTTAGCGGAAATTTACCAAGACCTGGCTGTGTGTAAAGAACTGCTCACTGTGACTAAACTTATAGTCACTCTTCCTTCTAAGTTTATTTAAGAAATGGTTTCATACAACGGTTCTAAACTCATATTTTCCATAGGTTTGTAAGAGCAATGTAAAATTTTGAATGCGTGATTAACGAGGAAGTTTAACATCCAACTAGTGGATCAAATGCTACTCATACAGTTTAGAAAAATAATATTCACTGGAACCAATAATACTTAGGCATGACATCTGGTCTAGTTCATAAAATTCCCGCTCACCTGCATACCAAATTTGTCCCAGTGTATGATGCCCCTACAGCCATATAACTACATTACTTCTTGCATTAAAAATCCTCATTGCTTAGTGTACAAACATACTTGTTTACTAAAAGTTCATATCAGGGTATAAGTACTGACAATAGGGAAATTACTTTTGTCATCAGAAAGTATTCATGAAGAACCACTAAAATTTTGTGGAGCTCTCCGTAAGTACATACATGATATAAAATATATTAGTATTTTTAAAAGGTAATACATTTTCCTGTCTAATACTTCTTTATTTTAAAAATTATTCTCCAGCGTTGTGAAAAACTGCGTTTCAGATAAAGACAAGAAATTCCTTTCAGAGTATTCAATAAATATCTCCTTCTGTTCTGTTATAGTTCACTACGTAGCCATGTCATCAGTAAGTAATAACAAACAATGTTAAAATCAAGTTTGTGTCAAGAAAGCAACATCAAACCAAATTCCTTAATTTTGTTGGTCATCAGCATAAAATTCCCAGTCTTTTGAGTCTGGTAGAAGTGTTATGACTCACTGAAATGTCATATAGTGGGTACTTGGATGTGGTGAAGACCGTTGTTATCTTTAAACTCCGGCTTTAGCGGTTTGACAATGTGCTGTTCAAATCACTACGTCAGCGTTTTTACCGCTTACTGTTTAATAATCCTAAAACTTTGTCAAAAAGCTGGAACGTGCATGTAATGTGATATGTTGATGTGCAGTGAGGGAAAATTTTGTTTAGTGCCTTATCGTTTATCAAGTATACTTCAGTAGAGTTCAAATCAGGGGTTTTAAATGCTATAATGTGCAAGTTAAAATCAAGTTTAGTGGATGTCACGCCTAAAATCTCTCCCTTATTTTAATGTTAAAAAGCAATACCTAAGTTACGGCTAATTCTGCATATGCATTATGATAATATTTATATAACCGATGTAATGTTCTTTAATTTTACGTCTAATTTTAGTTAATATCACTATTATATTGTTTGTATGGCACTTTTTTGGTACACACCATTTGCTTAACATGTGTTCTAGGTGAACACTAAAGTGAACCTTCGCTACTCAAAATACTCCCCCGATTTATATATTCATTAATAGTTTTTAAAGGCTGTTTACCACATCTGCAGATTCTATACAAGTATAAAATCGAACAAATTTTGTTTCAGATGCTCATTGTCACACTGAATATTACCATAAAAGTTATCGTCTCATTATCGTTTGTTTATTTTTGTGACACTAATAATTCCCTTTGTACTTAAAATATGGGAAACACGTAGTTTGGCCATAAGGTTGATACATCGTATGAAGACTAATGATACTCACCAGATGTTCATTTCTCGACAAATGAAATAGTATTCATATGTGTAACTTAGTCATGTGCTAAGTGGGAGTATAACTCAGTACAGTGTAAATGTATTGACAACATGTATGATGCCTGGAAGTTTGATAAACTCATTGGAACACTGCACCTAGTGAATGTGCACATTAAGATCAGCTGATTTCAAGAATACTGACACTCACATAACCTCAGAATCATCTAGTTAGACAGTGTCAACTTTTATTCACTTGGACATCAAAATTTCAGTTCGCTTTATCCTCATAAAACACGATTATTTACTATGCAACATCATTTCAACTTAGTATGATTGATGATCAATCGCCTTTGCACTCCAGAAAAGTCACGAGCTAGTATAAAAGATTTATCCATTAATCCCTTGGATTTTAACGGTTCTGTAGTTGTTAACTGTCTACTTTGTGATAAATAAAATCCCCAAAAACCTAACACAAAAGTAACGATTCCGTTATCTTGTCACTTATTTCTTTAGGCTTTGTGTTCTGAAAACAATACACGCTGTATGTCAGAAGTGCAAGCTATGTCATCTGACATTAATAACAACAGCATTACAGATAATCGGAATGAATTCCTCCAGTTCACAAACATCAATCATAATTTAGACGATCAAATTGATAGTACTAGTAATTCTAGTGGACTAAACCATAAAGCTCGCCGAAATAGTCGAATGCGTCAGTTTAGTCCGACTTATTCTGAATACAATGTAGAGAATAAAGTTATGCATGAAAAAGATGATGCCAACACTTCTAGTAATACAGTTCATAATGTTTTAAACAATTTGAATAATAATAGTACAATATCTGGTACAATCAATCCTATTTTATCCGCTTCATGTAATACACCTAATGCTTCACTGAACCATGACAATAACGATAATAATCTTAGCCTAACTAATCATAATAATGCCATAACTCGATCAAATGATCACTTAATAAGCTATAATCCTCATGTTAACACATTTTCAATTGGTTCAAATTCACTAACTCCATTTAACAATACAGAGCTATTTTCACATCGGTGTAGTTCTACCACTACTAACAATAATGCTAATAACAGTACTCGTGATGGTAGTAGTAATGATAATGACGAAAATGCAGAAAATAATAATCATATTATGTATAAAGGAAAAGTTTCTATTCCATGCAGTGCCGTCACTAGTCATAAATCTTCTACCACTAACAGAGATGCTAGTTATATAACTTTATCCAGTAATACGTGTAATAAAATATCTTTTAACAAAGTCAACCAACAGACCACTTCTCTCTATTATCCATCTAATCATCAAATTAATGCGAATATGAGAAATGATAAGCTGTGCACACTTCAACAGTTAGATACAAAGCAATATATGCCTGGTATATCTGAAGAATTAGTGCATAGGCCTTTTAATACATCAACGGCATCAACAATATCAAATGCACAAATAAATTCGACTGATTGTCATGTTCTGAGTAATAACAACAATAATCAACATAACTACACAAGAAACAGGAGCAATAAAAGTGGTATGCATGAAATGACTAATTTTGTAAATGAAGATAACAATTCAACTGGACCATTACTATCATCGACATCATCATCGTCAATTGTCGAGTTTTATATGATACAGTCAGATCACTCATCAAGTTTACAACAACAACAACCAGATAACGAAATCGTACTAGCAGAAAGAAGAAAAATCGTAGAAGAAGAAGAAGGCGAAGAGGAGGAAGAGCAGTGTGAAAACCAGTCGTTGAAATCAAGTTTCTCTACTGGGGAATTAGATTTAAGCGCATCATTCAAACATTTATATCATGCACTTTTGATAATTCCGGTAAGTCTAAAGTGATTACAATTTTTTATAAGGCCTTCAAAATATCATTTCATAGTCTGTCTAAAATCCCGTACAACCAGCATCGTTGACAGCAATGAAAAACTTGTTTGACGAACAATTAATTAATAGAGATGGCCTTGAGTTGGTACACTATTGTTGATGCAATGGGTGATGAATTAAAGCGAAGTGAAAACTCCAGTGGCTGCTGGATTCGAAATACAGGCCTCATAACTACTAGTCCACTGCTTTATCAGGTGAATTATAAGAAACAAAAGGACATGACAATATTTAATCATATTTAATAGGTCGAGTAATCCAGAGTATGCATAAGTTGAGATCTATTATGTTTTCTTCGTACACATAATATGGGATTGTGTCGTTTAATAACCATTTGAGAACATGTTCTTTCCGACAGCACTGAGACATTTTCTTTGTTCAGTCTTGCGACTGCAGATGAAGTTGTAGATACACTGAGCACTGGGCACATCAAAGGGAAATGTTCGAGAGGTTAGGAGAATGATTGGAGATTGGTATTGTCTCTTTTTATTATAATTTACGTTTCAAAAGTTTTTTAATAACAATGTATCCATGCATCTGTAAATTGCCTTTTAAGCAAGTAAGATTCAATTCTATAGAATTTCGCCTACTTGGAATGCTATGTGTATAGTATTTAATGCAATAATTGTATAACATGCATTGTGTTCTACCTTTTGTAAAATAAATTATTTTATGTACTTGTTTACTTCGTAAGCATTGCTAATTCTTCTTCGTCCTAACCAAAAATATAAAATTCCCATTTAGAATTGTCACATCCAGTTTTGGATCTTCAGAATACCACGACTGCTTCAGAGATTCCAAATCAATCCTCTTTATCATCAAATAAGTTAACTGAAACCTCGTTCAAGGATGTAACCACTGATTCACTTGGGATAGCTAATAAAGAGAATGTTATGACCTCTAGTTTAAATATATTAAATACTACTGCTAGTAGTAATAGTGGTAATAGTAGTGTGTTAAATTCAACTCATATGTGGGATTTATCAACAGATCAGAACTTTTTGTCTCCCTATGCATCACCTTCAACCGCTTCATCATTTCGATCAAGTTATTCTCATGGCAGTAATCCTGATCAACTGAGTAAATCGTCGAATGTAATAAAGACGAATCAGTTATTAAATATTAATAACACTGATGCAAATAATAATTCAGTCAATTTAAACTATGTACTACAGAAAACGTTACAAGCTGCTACGAATTTTGATTGGACCAGTGTCAATCTTGAAGAATATCCAGGTTAGTATAATTGTAGTTTCTTCTTTCCTAATCATGCATACTTGTGTGTGTGTGTGTGTGTGTGTGTGTAATGACAATTTTATCTGATAAGACACATAGGGATGACATATCGAGCAAAATGTATTGCTCATAATCAAATCAATCTGATTAAAACAGAACGATTCTGCTGACGACAATGGCGTTTTCGAAGCGTTTGTACTAGGAGCCTATACAGCAAAGGAGATAGGTGTAATAAAGTGAACCAAAATAGTTATAATGAATAACCATAAAACACTGTTTATTAATTATAACTTTATTCAAAAATTCTTCTAACTTCTTGAATACCCACTAACAGATTTAACGTCGTAGAACCTAACTTAGGAGTGAATCATTTAGAATTGCCGCAATTTGTGAAGCAACACATAAAGTAGAGAAAAGAAACGCAATGAAATTACAGTAGATGAGATTGTACGGAAATCGGTCGGTTGGTTGGAACGCAGACATTTAGAACAGGTTTACCATATAGCAAACCATAAGCCACACGCATTGAGCTAGAGAAGATGATCCCATCAAGTAGCTCACTCTGAATTCGATGGAGTGAGATCTGAGAGTGAATCTCTTGACCCAAAAATCGAATGCTTAAAGAAGTAAAAAAAACAACCCCACAGATTTACGGGGGGAGGGAGGAGAAGAATTCAATGGAGACTTTTAGAATCATGTACCCTTATTTACACGTGGTTTGTTGCTCAATTATACCAAGCAATCCATATGGTTTTCATAAGGATGATGCAAGTATCTTGTTACTATTTCAAGTGAGTTATTACTTAAGAAGAGTATGGCGTCTTAAACACGCAGTTGCATTTGCCTGATAGTACGTTATAATTTCAAGTCATGACTGTTAAAACCCTGTTGGTGCTTGTCTGTCTGTCTGTTTTCGACATAGAACTTTGCACAAATGTGCGGAAGTTCAAGTCGCCACACTCCGTGTAGCACGCGAAGCAAGAGAAGAAAGTATAAGAAAAGCATAATAGAAACTGTGAGCAGAGGGGTGAGACAAAGGAGTAATAAAGAAATACAAAACTTTCATTGAAGATCATAAGTCACAAGTAGTGGATGCGTCTGCGCCACTGAGAACGATTTTGAGCCATGTCACCAATTGTTTCCAACCATAGATTTTTACCGTCCCGAGGACCCCAGCCTGGAAGTCTACACCTTCTTACGTGGCTTAGACCAACTGTTGTGGATTTCATTGACTGGTGCCAAGTTTTTGTTTGACCGCCGCTAGCTTTTTTCCAGCCTGACCCTATATCCGCTAACGTTGCTCGTCGAGGGAGGCGATGGCTTGGCATACGTAACACATGTCCTAACCATCTCAGTCTTTGTAGCTTCACGACTTCGTCGATTGATTTCCCCTGTTTACCTAGAACTCTACGCCTAACCTCAATGTTGCTCACCTTATTATGCCACTTTACACGGGAAAGAGAGAGCAGGCACCTATGATCAAAGACAGCTAGCCAGCATTTTCATGTCTTCCACTCTCAGTGGCCAGGTCTCACTAGCAGCAATAAAGCAGGACGGAGCTGACTGATGAGCAGTACACCCGCCCTTTGGTCGATAGTCGAACATCTCGTCTACGCCAGAGTCGGCATAAACTGGCAAATGCGGAACGAGCCCCCTGTATCCGTACTCAGCTGAGATTTCGTCAGAGATCAGCCCGTTAGGGCTGATGGTGCTTGAAATTATGACGATTGTTGTCTACCGAGTACTGATTCCGGGTCTCACTGATCTTTGTATATCGGCGTAATTTCATTTATCTCACTTTCCAGATTACATTGTTTGGACGTTTTGATAAATTAATCCCCTGTCATTATTATAGAAGATTTTGTATTTCCCAATGAGTGGAAAACAAAACGATGTTGTTTTCACTGATGTTTCACTATTTAGTGCTAACAGCTTTATCAAAGTATTATTAAACCAGAATTTACAAAATCTCAGCTTGTTTATAACAACTTAGTCATCGTTCATCAGCATGGGGTAAATTTTACGTAGTCACTTTGACCAGTTGGTTTAATAATACTTTGAAAAAGCTATTAGCATTAAAAAGCAAAACGGCAGTAAGAACAATATCGTTTTGTTTTTCATTGATTGGGAAGTACAAAGTCTTGTACAATAATGAATATCATATACCCAGTGCCAGAATTCTTTGAAACTGTTAAAAGTGAACCTGGTTTCTACATGTATAATTCTCTATCAACTTAAAACACAAATTTATCGCAGTTCGTAAATCAGCGTGTGTCATTTCCCATTTGAAAGCTGAGATTGTATATTTTGTCAAGTTATAATAATTCTTTCAGATTCTGTCATATCAGAAAGACTGGTTCGTTAACGATGAGACCTAATAGATCTATTGTTGCAATGTCAGTAGCCTTCATACGGCAAGGCTGAGAATACAACACTACACTGATAGCTGAATAGATGCGTTACAGTATTAAGGTGTTTGCCTTATGCGACCATCATTCCAGGTGTACTGTACTCCTACTCATGAGAGAAGCTTTTGGAAAGCTTCTTCTTTCCTCATGACTCTTCATCGTCAGCTATAAAAGTTTTTTTTATAAAAATAGACATACCTCTCTAGTACTTAACAACCTTAAAGACATCAAGTGGCTTTTAGTTTTTCAGCTAAGCAAAAACTAACGGTCTTTCCCGTCCAACTTCTACAACATGTGCAACCGTAAGAAATATTAATCGTCTGCACAACTCTCTCCTCTCAAAATGATCAATGTTTTTGTGCACAGGATTGACTACCATATTCTCTCCCATACTTTTCTCACACAATCACATATTTTAATATTTTTAGAACTGGTTATGAGACTAGTAGTTTAACAATGACAGTAAAAATCCCTTTTATTTCATCTTATAAATGTCTAAAATAAGTTGGTAATTGCATTAGTAAATACATTAAGGGAGAGGCATAATTAATGTATTTAATAAAAAAGGTATTAAAAACAAAGCTACTCCCTTTTTTAATTCACCACCTTCTTACAGTTAAAAAGATAATATGGCTTATTGAGTTAAGCACTCCAATTTTACTCAATAGACCAAAAGTTCAGGCTGCATCGTGCAATCAGCAGTTTTTCTCCTCCAGTCACTCACTCTTCCTCTCTCTTTCTCTCTCTTTCTCTCTCTCACACACACGCTGAAGTGAACTTGGTACAAAAATAAAGTAGTTCAAGTTGCTACACTTTAGAAGAGTACACACTGGGACAGAGAAAAGATATGACAAGAAAAGTATAAAAGACAGAAGTGTGTACGAGAAAGAATGATTACTTGGTAAACAATGAGGATTTTCAGATTCTGAAAGATCACAAAGAAGAATAAGAACGATTGAACGATCCTACCCGCTGGTTCTTAGCGTCTAAGGGACCACAGTCAAGCAATTTACATCTCCCTATGCAACTCACACGGAAAGTAAACGACTTCGTGGATTACTGTTACGTCTTCCTCTCACCACCCATAGCTCTTTTCCTATATCAGCAAATAGTACTCGTGAAGAAAGGAGATTACTGGGTATGCTCAGCGTGTTCCAGACATCTTACACAAAGTCCCTTATAACCTAGTACACGAAATAAGTCTAGGAAGTAGTACATTTGTAGATACAAGTGTAAATATACATCTTTTTCCCCCATTGATTTTTTCTGCTTCTTTCTCCCCCTATATCATTTCATTATGTATAAATAATTGATATTTTGTAAATTAACTGAATTTACTATTACATAATCGAAATTGTTTCAAGTAATCTGCCATGTAACATTGTCTAGACAACGCTGATGATGTCACTGGTGTTCATCTTTGTGTATCGATTGCTAAGATGTTTCTCTTCCCCTTCCCCGTCTCCCTGTTCTTCCTCTCCTTCTTCTTCTGATGACGACTATAATGATGGTGTTAGTATTTTGAGTAGCGGTGCTGTTATTACTCCTTGGGTATAGTACTCAGTAATAAAATGACATGCGATGTTATACCATGGTTGAAATAACACGAAGAGAAAATGACAGTATATTCATAAAGAATTCATATATATATATATATATATATATATATATATATATGAATTCAGCCTTCAGATGTACGTAGGCGTAGCTTTGTTTATCCATGCATAGTTGAAATCTACTGCCACACCCAAATATGTATAAATTATTAGTCTTCTCATAGAATTGACTATTTGCATGTCTGGTATAATGATAACTGAATATTTGTCTTTTTATTTATTTATTTTGAAAAAATATACTGTTTTTATATGGAAATATTCATTATATTGTTTATGCGACTGTGAAGCTATATCGATTGAGATGGCTAGGATGCGTGTTATGCATGTCGACCCACCGCATTCCTCGATGAACATTGTTAGCTAACATAGGATTGGGTTGGTGATGGATTAGGGGAGATCAAATGAAAACCTGACATCAATCCATAAGTTATTTGTATATTGTTGTGAGTAACATAGAGAGATCCAAACTTCCTGGCTAGAGTTCTTGGGATGCTAGGAGTCAATGGTTGAACTACTGCACTTCTACTCGAAGTTCTACTTTGAAAATTCATTCTTTTTTGTGTGGCACTCTTATAGTGTCCACTTGGTTATCATTACTGACTGAACTTTCTCTAACTTTGTTAACGTTCAACTCTAAGAGGAAACTATTCTCTTAATCATGGGTGAAGTTTGTTATATTTATATCCACCGTCGTTACGAACCAGCATTATCTGGTAACTGTAAGAAACTGAAGGACACTGAAGAATTATTTCACACTAATTTGATACTTTTAAACAATAAAAACCCACTACGCCTCAGAGAATCAAACTCAAGACACTTCAATAATAAGGCTAACATTAATATTTACTCGGAATTCAGTAGTCATCAGTCTTCAACTTCTCTTGACTTCCAGAGTAATTATACAACCACTTTATGGTTGATTAGATCTCACATCTGACTTGACTGACTCCACCAGTCACACCGTCCATCAGAATTCTGAGAAAGTAATTTTAAATCTAGTCGGTAGTGAGTGACAAATTAATATTCAAATGCGACACAGCATCAACATCTTGCAACCCGACAAGTTTTAACTCCATCTTTGTAGGGTCATGGTTACTTATTGCTGAAGAGACTTGAACCACAGAAAAAGGTTGTCTAACTCCTCTTAGTTTCAAATCGATCTCTGGTTTAAATAATTATTAGATTAAAAGTTAATAGCATTTATATTTGACGACTGGTATTGTCTCCGAAAATCTTTTGTATTTTCTTGGTGCAAATTACACCGAAGTTAAGGATAAGAGTAAAATATCCTTTAGGGTTATTATCCTAAGCGGCCCTGTTTTCTCTTCAGAAGGCCTCTCAAGCTTTCCACTGTGAATTACTAAGCATGTGGCATTATCTCATGGGAGCTGATTGACGTTGATAAAGTTTTGGAGCATTTCGTGGTGTTGAATCAGCTTCCAAATTACTGGACAGCCGATGTTACTGAAAGCCTTTTCAAAATCAACGAAGTTGTGGTAGCGAGTTAACTGCCATGCTATGCTGTGTTAGATTATGATGCGTTGCATTGCAATTTGGCTACCATATGATTAACTTTACCTCTATCCAGCTTGTTTTGGGCGGAGTTTTGGATTAGGAGCCTCTTTTACTCTCTCCAGGATGATTCAGCTTAATATTTTTCTTGTAGTGATTCCACACTAGTTCTCCCTTTTTTAGGGGTTTAACGCAGTAACTCTTCTTCCAGTCGGCCAGTACCTTTCCTTCCTTTTAAATCTTTTGCATTGGTGGTGTGAGCAGATTCGTTGAGGTTCCTGGGTTCCCGTAGTACTTACTACCTAGGTAACAAAGAGAAAATATTGCACTTACTGATGTTCAAGTATTTATGTAAGTAGAAGAAGTATTGAAAGAACACTGAAATACACAGTCACTCCATAGTTTAACCTCCACGTTTTGGTTCCTTGAACCCTTATATATTCGTGACACTCTTCTTCATCTCCATCAGTGTAGAAAGATAAGCTGACTAAGAGCATGAACTGTTCAAAGCTTCAATGCTATCCCTACAGACCTCTCGATTAGATTCCCATATACAGATGTCCGCAGATGGATGACAATGAAGAAAATTTGTTTATACGCCATCTTTATTTATCATGCTTATATTATTTTTATGTGTATTTTGTCTTCCTGCTCTCTTAGTTTCATTTTTGAAATATCGTCTCGTGCTAGTTATTATCTTAATTTCCCCATGTTAAGTGTAATAACTCACGGTGATACTCAGTCATACAATAATGTACATTTTTGGAATTAATTTAAATTTCCCATGGATAGAAACGCTTCGTCTCTGTTGACTGAACTGTCGGCTGCTAGTAAGTACCCTTGGATGGTACGTTGCGATGGATATGGCGTTAGTTGGTTGATGGTGGCGGCTAGAAACTAGAATCCAGGACGCGTTTTTTCCTGTTGTGGGTAACGCTTTGGCTCTTCAATTGGTAGGTTCTGGCTTCGACTCGTGGTAGAGATGCAGATACATCCACCTGACGACTACGAAATAGGATAAAACCTGGATCTTGGATTCCATTGCTAGCCAAACTACCTTTAGAGAGAAATGAATATTTATTGAGTACCCTTGATTCAATTTATCCTTTTGGTTGATGTTACCACGGTCATTTAATGTGTCCTGTATTCGTATTGCTTCAGTAGGAATTTATCGGCAAATATCCAGTCAAACTCCACGAGAATAACTAAATGTTGAATTGTTCATCGTCTGAGATAATTGATATACTTACCAACCCGTGATCGATTCGTAAAAACATAACAAACCCTTACAAACCAAACTATAGAAAAATAATTGATATGCATTTTGAAGAAGAACGGTATTCTGGTTGCTCTATCTGAATTCAAAGGAGGTGAATATATATATATAGTCTTTGTGAAGGTTATTTCAACTTTGGATAAGCACTTTATTGAGAGAGAATAGACAATTTCAATCAGGTGTTTAGCTGTTGCACTCTTCACAAAGCAACCGTTTACTTTGTATCGTTATATGATTTGAAAAGGGAAGGAATATTTCCTTATTTTAGCCTTTTGTGAGAAGGATCTGTTCAACACTTGCTTTTTATCCTACCGCCTTTCAAATAATAATTGTAACTATGAATGGCATACAAGTATTTTTTATAGTTTTATTACAAACCTTTACCAGTTTTATGTGTTTATTTTTCTTCTATCAAGAATTAATATCTAAAATACGCAGTGTCGGTCAAAATCCCAACAGTCTGACGGTTGAACAATTAATGGAATTGAATTTAACACTTGATCAATTGTTCAGTCAAATTCAACAGAATACATCACTTGGCGATACGGCAATCACTCCTTTCACCTCTAGTACTTCTGCTTTTTCTTCTGCCGTATCGTTACCGTCATCATCGTCATCTTCTTCTTTACCTGTTATTAATAATTTTTCAACAAGATTTCAAACATACGATGGAAGTTATAGAAAAAGTCAACAAAATCAGGATATCACAGGGATTCAGACACAAACTACTGAATGCATGACTTCTGTCAGTAGCGACACTAGTGTCAGTGGGAATGCTCCGAATGCCAGTCTCCATTACCATCTTAAACAACAATTAAATGATAACAGTGAGTATGCCAACAATGCATCATTGCACAATTCGCAAAGCGTACAACTTTCCTCAAATTTTCATGAGTCGGATTGTAATAACAACGTTGTCACACCGACTGGATTGTCATCGGTAACTGATAGTGTGAACAATAATGCTACTAATAACAATAATAATAATAATAACGGTAATAATAATAATAATGATAAAAGCAGAATCAATTCCCTCTTATCTGATCTAAATACTTATGAGCATGTTTCCAATGATTTTTTTAATTCCTACATTCATTGCAAAGATTTAAGAGGTAATGTTATTTTGACAAATAATCTTAACAGGGACAGTAGTCGTGATAACGTAGGAAATGTTACTGCAACATCAACTACAGATGTGAACAACAACTGCAATCCCAACACTGTTACTAACAATATGAATATTACTAGTCAGTCATCATTGGACCATCACAATCATCATCATAATCACCATCAAAACCTTATCTGGACTTCAGTTAAAATCGATAATAATAATAATAGTAATAATGATGTCAGTGTGACGAAAACATCTGGTAAGTATTTCTTACTATTTTCCGCATTAATTTCTCCCTTCGTAGTTGATATGAAGTTATGTAGTGATGATGAAGTATCTGCAATTAGGAAGTAGTAAATCTCAATATTCTTTTTTATAATTGGCCATTGCTGTTCCGTCGTCATCAGGCTAGGCGCGATTTCATTAGCACTTCACTAGAAAGCTTTTTCTCCTTTTATCATGAGCTACAAATCTCTAGTGCTATTACAAAATTTTTTTTTGGGTAAAATTAACTTATCCATAAATTTAGGGATGCATTTTGATAGAAAGTTAAATGAAGCATAAAACGAGTTGTTCATTCATTGGTCTAGGCGTTTGACTTTTAACACAACAGGTTGCTGATTCTCATTTCACTGTATCTGCCGGACAGTATCATTAACTGTCACGGAACAAGCTAAGGGTTCAACGTAGAATTGTGCATAGATTGCAGTGGTCCAAGTTCTGACATTTCATACAAACACACATATATTTCATAGAAAAAATATACAAGGAGACTGCAATGAACAGGACTGAGTGGCAGAAAGATTAATTAAATGAAGAATAAGGCAGTTTTAATGAATCTGGAAGATTACAAGAAGTGAAAATGATTCTGAGTAGTGTCAGTAAAAGTCTTCAACCACTGATTCTTAGCATATCTAGGACTCCATTCAGACAGTCTACACCTTCAGCTTTGATACTGTAAATGTGCATTACATATTTGCACATAGGTGATGACTTTATATATATATATATATATATATATATATATATATATATACTGTTAATAAGGTGTGATGTGCACTTTAAGATGAGTTGCATATTCAGAAATAATGATTAGTAAGGTTTATAATTTGATTTCATATATACTTGAATTCCATGACGAAAGTGTGTTTAAGCAAAATGTGATTCAATGTCACTATAAATTCCTTCAAGAATTAGTTCTGAAGCCTTGAATCGACTGGATGCAGGTTTCACATGTATTGAATTCATTTATTACTACTCAATAGCTGCTTAGTGATTCTAGAAGCCAGTGTTGGCAGAAATATGATGCTGTACCCAGAGTTGGTATCTTCGAATCATTAACAGTTACATAATAAAATTATTAGGCACAGACATTTGATATCAATGTGGGCTCATAGAAACATATGGAAACGTCAAAAAGCAGTTGATAGTTTACTGGATGGGTTAGATTCTATGTTCGTGGGGTACGTTGATGATTTTACTGATGAATATGTGTAAAAGCATAGTGTTTGTCTAGTGAAAACATTGGAACAACAGTCACTACGAAGTATATTTCCGGCACATCCTGAAAGGTACGTGCATAACTTTTCCATTGGTTCTTTCAGTCAGCCAGGTGTTGTAATTGGACCCACTGTCTCACTATGTTGTAAGCCGTCTAGTAAGATTAAAAACTAAATTATAGTTTAGAGATATTTTCAGTCGAACAAATGGCTTGGTTCCATCCTCTTAATTACATTCAGAAGAAGTGAAAGCCTGTCATGTTCAAAATTGTTACCAGTATCAGTCAAGGAAGTGTACTAAGAAAAATATCCTCAGTGGGGCTTATAATAAAGCTTTAAAGAGACTCAGGCTAAACGAAAGCAGTCTTATAAAGACACCGGATAAGGGGGTTGGAATAGGTTCAGCTAACTATGTAGATAATATAAACGGAATTATATCAGATAGTGCAAAATCCTAAAAACTACCTAACAGCAAACTGTTAAGGAGAAAATAGTATAGGAATTTCTCAAGACACTGAAAGCTTTGGTATGCATCCACTTACCTTCCTCAAACCTTAGATCATCTTCATTCTGTAGGAACAAATATGCCTGAGGTATGTGGGCTACCCAAAATTTAGAATCCGAAATCGCCAATCTACGTAATTCATCATATCATAAAGTAGTAGGATAGCTGGCAGAGACAATTAAACTACTGCAGCTGCAAATGACTAAGTATTTCTTAAAAAACTTTAGAAATTGTAGAAACATTGAGAAATAAGAAGACCGACTATGAAATAATGACTTTATAGATATCACTTCCCTATTTACTGACGACCATTTACTAGAGATTATTGAATTTATTTTTGAATCTCTGTTAGGCAATGATATGGAAGTAGGTATACTACCTCAGATGATACGGGAAGAGCTAATTTTTTGTACTATGATCGCGCATTTTCAGTTTAACAGTAGAATGTGTCGCCAACAAGGGAGGGGGGATTGGTAGTGGGCTCTCCTTGGGTCCCCTTTTAGCCGACATGTCTATGGCAAAGTTAGAGAATGATTCATTAAAAAACCTAATCAATAAATTGTCATTTTACTGTAAATATATCTTTCATAAGAATGCAGTCAATACTGAGATTCTTCTCAACACCTTCTAGTTGGTTCACTCACAAACCGAGTTCACATATGATAGAGAGAAAGACAATACTTTGTCACTTCTTGATGTGCAACCAAAAACAGGCGCAAATGGCAGTATTAATCAGGGTATTTTCTATAAAAAGTCATGAGTTTGCTAATACACCATTTTAGCTTGTTTCTTCCTCTTACGTATCAACGAAATCTTGTCAGAACTCTGATGTTTCCTGCTAAATGAAATCTCTACAGTCGACACTTTGAACAGTGAGGTTACGAAAATAGAGAACGGATATACAGGGAAAAGCTCTGAAAGTTTTCACAATAAAAGCTGGTAGAAAACAGTTCTCTAAACAGTGCACAAGAAACATATATGCCTGAATTTATTGTTCATAGGGGATGCGGCTCCGGAACTATTTGCAACCAAACTCAGAAAGTTAGTAACTAAAACATCCTTTGCTGCAACACCGTTATTGAAATTCACCGCCCGTTTTATAATTTCAGTACAGAAGAAAGATGAGTCACCGAGCATTTGTAATGTTAACTACTCTTGTAAGGACAGTTACATAGATAGGAAGACTCGACTAGCTCATCATCACTTTATTGAACATTGTTCAATGTGATAAAGAAAAGAAATCATAAGATCAATCAGAAGTTGTATATCGGCATACTTAGTGAATACAGTGATAAGAATCCAATCTTTATTGTTTTAAACAGTCTCCCATCTTAATTCTCTAGATTTGTACGCCTTCGACTGATAAGCATAACTGAAAGCAGTTGCCATAAAAATATTTCAACTTAACTTGTTTTGGGAAAAAGTTTGTCCAATCACTCTTCCTCCCATGGCATTCACCCCCAATATTTTCTTTCTAGGTGAAATAGGATAACTAACTGTCAGCATTATCTTTATTTGTACTATTGTGCTTATCATTTGATCCTATGGTGTCATAACTGTATCCTTTCGTGTTGGTTACAAAATTTACATTGTAATCACTATGAGATAATGGTCATTTCCCCACTCCCTCTATCCGTACGGTTCACGATGGCTGACCACGTAGAGTATATACATATTGGCAAGAATTTATCTTTAATTTTTCAACTGTAATCACCTTGATTATTTGTTATACACCGATTCACACGCTTGAAATTTAATTCTGTTTACTGCATTGGTATCAAATACACATGACTAATACTTTTACTATTCAATTGTTGAGTGTGATGAGAAATAGCCGAAAACACTTATTTGCTTAATTTGTCTTCTGTAATTATCGGAATGAGAATACCTGAGCAAATTAACTTGTTTCTTTTCAACTTTTTATTTCAGCGTATAATGATAACTATTCAGTTTATGAAGAATCTAATATTCCGTTTTCTACTTCAAGTTACCATGATAATGAACAACGTCACAATCATCATAATAACCATCATCATCTTCAGCATCTTCACCACGACCCACACCACCATCAAGATCAACATATACTTCCCCAAGCACCACATTCCCAAACACAACAACAACAGCATTCAGATGAATTCACGACAAAGTCAACAAGAAATATCACTTTCTTACATGATCAAACATCTGATTCAACAAGCATTAATAATAATCCTGTTTCCTTTTACTTTACTCCTCTTCAGTCGGACAGTTTTATAAATTCTTCACTACATGGAAATACGAATGATTCTATGTATGCAGAATTACAAAGTAACACTAGTACTCCTACTATGACTACTACCACTTCTACAAGTGGTAATACAAAAGCTCCACAGAATTTTATCAACCTAGTCACGGTTCTACCACAAACTTCTACAATGTCATCAGAAGTGCAAAATGAATCCTTGGCGTCATCGTCGCCATTATTATCGAATCGATTTTTCCACGCACATGATCAATTTACTCAACACAATCCTCGATATCATATGTTACTTAGTGCCAGTAATCATACTGATCATTCAAAATCGTTTAAAATGCATATCAATGGTACTGATGACGTTAACCACTCCCCTTTAAACAATCACAGTCATTTACAACAGAATGAAAATTTTGAACATAATAATTGTAATAGTAATAATAATGGTAATAATGTTACTAGTACTTCATTTGATCAGTTTCAAATTTTTAGCAATGACTCCTTTTTGTATCACTCAAACAAAAATAATTTATTGAATATTGGACAGAAAACCACTTCGAATGAAGAAATACAACACTTTATGCCAAACGCTACACAACACTGTACAACAGATTATAGATTTCCTTTTATACAGAATTTTATGGCTACTAGTGGTAATTTATCTACTTGTCTTAATACGAATACGACTACTATGAATGCTAATAATACTATGGCTACTTCTACTAATTCTACTGAAATTACACATTTATCATCCTCTTCTAACTCACCGCCTCAGTTGTCCACTGAATATCCAGGATCGTCTTCATCATCATCCTCGTCCACATCGTTACTTATACATAACCGGAACAGATTGTTCAGTGATATGAGATATTCAGGCCTATGCCAACAGTCTTCTATAATGCCAGTCAGTCAACAAGTAGAACAGTGTAACCCAGTCAACATGATCAATTCTTTTAGCATTCAGAATGCCACCACTGGAAATAATTCTAGTAGTGGACCAGAAGATTTTAACTGGGATACTATTGTTTAGATTTTAGATGCTCCTTACTTCCTCTTCAACTGCTGCCTAGAGCACAGTTGAATGTATTGTTGATAATTCTATTCCTTGCAATATTCTATTCTTGATGTTGTGTTCACTTGTTTCACTACTCGCCCTTTCCACAGAGAATTGTTTCTTCGGCTGAATATTATTTATAGAACAACTGCCAGTAGTAGTTATATAATATTCTCTTAATATATGCACACATCACTGTTGTTCTGCTTTTTTAGTAAAATTCGGGGTTTTTTTTGCATTTACTTATCAAAACCTTTTAATTTTATTTTTTACCATATTTACATTTGTTTTTATTATTGCCTTTCTGTTCTGTTGTTACCAAGGGCATTTATTATTACTTAATTTGTGTGTCAGCGTAATTTGTGAGCAATATTTTCTTTCATTGCTTCAATGTTTGTTTTTCATTTTTTTTTTCGTTTATTTATTTACTCATTTATTTTAACTTCTGTCTATTAAACAAGAGACAATGACTTTGAAAATTTGTGATTTCAATATTAGACTAAGTGACTATTCCTAGTTATATTATTGTGAACAGGTGGTATACACATACACACATATCAATATACAGATATCCAGAAATTGCCTTTAATTAATATGTCGATTGAAGAGAGCCCAGAGTACATATCGGAATCATGCAGTTTTTTTTTGCGCTAAATGTTCACTTTTTTCTCTGCTTTCTTTTCTTTGGGGAAATATTATCATCCTATCTGATGATTTCTGATCTCATTTTTTTGGATTTTCGCTTTTTATTTTAATCCATCTTTTTTTATATCTGTGAACACTTATTTTACAGTGCAATTTATCGCACACATATCATACATAGCATATATAAACATTACTACTGTTATTGGTAGTAATAAAAAAAATAATTTTAACTAACCAAGCTGCCTTGCGTGTATTTACCATCTTTCCTTAATTCTGAAATAAATGCTGTCCAATTAATTTTTCTCTATTGCAGCAAGAATGGTAAATCCGCAAGGTCAACTGTTTTTAATCTTTTAGAATTAAGCTACTCACAAGTAATCGAAATTATGTTGATAAACTTTCAGAGGATACTTCGAGTCTTGTCTCGTCAGTATATTATTATAAATAATCCTGACGGGAATAACCCACTGTGTAAATGTTCTATTCATTTGAGAATATTACTCATTGAAATGCATATCTGAATTGTTTCTTTTCTCTTCACTTTTTTATGCTGAGGTTTCGCTTTGTCTTTTTTTCTTATTATAATTAATAAATTTGGCAATCTCATGTTTTTTTTATTTTTTACTAATTTCTACCCCACTGCACATATCAATGAACTGATAAATTTATCCTTTGTGATTTTTTTGTCTCTTTGTTTTTACACTGATTCTGAGCGCGGCAAATGAATTATGGTATCAAGTTTTTTTTTCTGTTTTCACTTTTTATAATTTTCGTGTAATATTTTTTTCTTCCTACACTTGTCCCCGCCCACGCAACGCACCCAACCAGTCTCCTCACCGTGCACAATTATGAATGGTATTATTTGTCTTTTCCCTTTGCCTTGTTCCACACAGTTTAGATGTCTTTTAAAGTGGAAAGCATTTCTAGAGATGAACCCGTTTTTTTTTTATTGTCTCACAATTGGTTGTACACAATTTTAAACTAGACGAAGTTGTTTAAATGTGAAGATTATTGTGAAAATTATTCCCTCCTATTCTTTGTTGCCTTTTATTCATTTCCTGTTGTTGTTGTTATTGTTGTGGTTATTACTACTGTTAATATTAATAATATTATTGTTATTGAAAAGAAATAAAGTAAGATCTGAAACTGGTATCTCTAGCTAGTGAGTCGTAAACTGCCTCAAATGGCAATTTTGTCGCATCGACAGAAAAATATTTATCTTGCATGTCACTCGGTTGTGACCAGTAAAACCAGTTGGAATGGTTACTTCCTAAAATCTCATTATGTCAAAAAAAATGTTTATTGACTAATAGTATCTATGATAATGCAAATGGCTGAAATTATAATCGGAGTCTAAAGGTGAAGTCCTGTTGCTAAGTGAATAGGATTGCATTGTCAATAAAATGCTTCCTTCAGAAAACTACAACTGTGGTTATGTTGGTGTTTTTTTCATTGCGAAGAGTAAAATTTTAATGAAAGCATGCACACTCTATCGTGTCCTACAGATGTCAATCGCCGCCAGTGACCTTTAATTACAGCTTTGCTGCTGTGAGAAGAACATCCGCTTTCTGTTTCGATTTCTTCAAGATGACTTCTGCAGTATGGTCAGCTGCGAAGAATTGGTCTCTTCTTCTTCTTCTGGCTCACTGCAAAATGCACTTACTTACTACTAACCCTTTTAATGCTTAACCCTTCATACTGTCGGCGTTCCTTCAACCTCTGTATACTGTACAATCCTGCTAGGAATTCATTTTACAGAAATGCAGTTCATAGGCTAACGCTGCAGATATTCAAATCCTATCATGGGTTAGCTAGCAGATTTCACAAATTAAACCTCCGATGTCTTGAGATATGATTGTATATTTGATATCTCAGATAGGTGTCTATTTTTCGAGTGGCTTACACTACAAATATAGAGAGATTCCCTGTCTAGTTCTTGTGAACTTTATAGTAATAAAAAGAAAATTACATTATAGAGAGAAAAACACATTCCTTCTCTATGTTTTGGTTGACATTCATCTGCATACAGTTTTGATTAAGTGGGTCTGTAAAAAAAGGAGGATAGTGAAGCCTTTATTCCTGACGAACACCTGCAGAAAGAATGGATAGATAGCGACAATTCTTTTTGAAACACTTCGATGCACGCGAACTTCTAGATCTGAATAGACATGTGAACCTAAGAGCTGTCTGTATCCAGCTTTATTCGTCTGTTAAGTCTGAAATTACTTGAACATTCGTGTGGAGGCGATGACGATTCTTATCTAATTGTAAGCGTGTATGGTATAAATCCTCCCCACAGGGAATCATTCAAATCCACTCGATCTTTTCCAGGAAAACTGGTTCGCCGTGTTATTACGGCGAGAATCAAAGTTGATTCAACCGTAAAGGCCTTTGAAAGTATATCAAGCTGTTAAAGGTGACGAAAACTAAAGAAATATTGGGGGTGTCAACATTGTTATTTTAGCCTAGTAGTGACACCTATTGATAAAAGATAGTACCACAGATATAGACAGACTTCCTACAAATTCTTAAAAAAGGTGACCTCCAGGTCATTACCGAAAAAAGTAACTGTACGAAAAACTAAGGTGTGGACTAATGTGTAAGCAAGGACCAAAAGTAGCTTCACCACTTTGGTCTAGATGCTTGACTAATGTTGATTGGAAAGTCTAGTTGCTTAGTTATTATGTAGCTGTCCTGATGCTCATGAACAGAAAGGTTATTTTAGGTCGAATATATTGAGAATAGGTTCTGAACGCCTTTAAAAGTCACTTGAATGTTTGGCAGCAGTCTTGCATCTTCCAAAAAGTAAAATGATTATCTAATCCCCTAATTGACTCATTTATATAGAAGGATTTATAAGTTCCAGTGGATTTGTTTGAACCTTCTTGGGACATTTTTGTCATTGTAATATTTTAAACACTTACAGAGAAACAGACTGCAGTGATTTGGTCTGCGCTGACCAGCAGCTGGAGGTAGAAGTTGTGTTCTAATTAATAGTATTCTCATAACAATACTTGAATTTGGTGGGACGAGTTATTATGTACTACTCAAATTTTGTACAGAATCCCAACTATGTATAATAAACTAATAAGTCACTAAGGTCTCTAACCAAGATTGATTTAACTGTCTGAAAGGTGTTATGCACAGTAATTAGGAGTAATGTATAGTGCTGAATCAGGTTGAAAAAACTAAAGATTTAGCAATAATTCAAGAAACCCGAATAGCTGTTTGAAAATAAATAGCACATTATGTCAGTGATCAACCTCCTTCATTGAATGCATACCAGACACATTCACTAGGAATAATTCAACATCAAAACTACAGATATCTAAAATATCATTACCGGTAAAATCAAATGAGTAAGAAACATTGAAACCATGTTTTTTTCCAAAAAGAATCCTGCCTGTGGCTGGCCGAGTAATAGGCCACCCTTAAAAAAAGTGCGTTGATGGCTCTCGCCGACCATGCACATGGTCCGAGGTTCGATCCCCTGCCAACGCACACCTGATATCTATGATCGGCCTGCAAAACTCGGCCTACCGATATCCATGCTGAAATTTCCATACTTGTACCAAAAAGTACGGTGTGGAATCAAGCTGTAATCAGAAATAAATAAATAAGTTATGTAAGCATCTTGATATGAGCATTGGCTACAAATTGTGCTTGAAAAGTCATCAGTAAATATAATGACCCGCTCTGAATAGCTTGCCGAACTTTCATAAGATAAGCAGTCAGAATTTATATTCCCGCTTGTCGGGATAGAATTTGTGGCACTAGGGAACAATAATAACTCATATAGAAAAAACAAAACTACCTTAACTATGCAGTCTGACAGTTTTACAGTGCCAAACCTTTCAGGCGTAAGGTAAGAACTATACAACAAAGTTAATGAAATATATACAACTGTAAAATACCTGTGGATCAATAACAGTATCCCCAATAAGATGGAATCAAGACTCTTTAGACACTCTTCTCACTGACAGTCCTAGGTCAAGCAGTCAATCAACGGTGTATTCTTCAACTTTTAGTGATAATAGATTTATTTTGGAGAATAAATTTATATACAAAAAATAGAACTTTTAGCGTATTTTATTGAAAGGTATTTACTCTTTATGCAATATCATTTCACCCGAAGCATGTTTTAATACTCCGCAATCATCTTCCCCTACATAGAAAACGATTCAATATACAGTACGATTCACAGACCAAATTGAATGATTAAAAAAGTATGAAACAGCGTAAATACAATGTGTTCAAATGGATAGGAAATCCAGGTAACCGAGTGATTCAAATAAAATTGTAATCGTAAGACAACACATCATTATCAAGAA